GCTATGGACTGTAACCACCTCGATGGCCCCTACCAAGAACTGTGGCCAAGACTGCATGTCCTGGGCTAGCTTGGGAAACTTCCTGAGTCTCATTTACTCCAACTCTACAATGAGAGTAACCGTACTCCCTCGTTAGTGTTTTTATGAACATTTTATATAAAAATCACCACATGAAATTCCTTGTAGAAGTCTTGAGAGCAGAAGGGTTATGTATTGAGCTGTTAACTGCAGTGACAGTAGTTTGAATCTATCATGCACTCCACTGGAGAAAGATGAGGCTTTCTATTCTGGTAAAGATTTATAATCTTGGAAACCCAAAAGGGCAGTTTTATTATGTCCTGTATGGTTGCTATGAGTTGGAATCAAATCAACGGCAGTGAGTTTTTGGTTTGAGTAAAGAAAATGTTCAGGAAAATGAATTTAAGTTAACAAATGGACAAATTCTAATAAATGATATTATCAATAATATTCAATAGTTATAGTAATACTGGCAATTAAATAATATTTTTTCTTTGTGATCTTTATCACTATATTATTGATTAAAGTCACTCAGTGATGTAGATTCATTAAAAAGTTTATATATATTAAACTATAAATCAAACTAATATTCTGTAATGCTAAATGATTAACATATGTAGAATATATATTTAGATTTGGAAAGTAAAGATGATTTACTTACTTTTGTTATTTTTATTTGATATGAATTCCAAATGAGGCAGACTGAAGAATGTTCTTCAGTGTGAAGGAAACATCAAGTCTTTGGGAAATTAAATTTATTTTGTAGATTTTGAGTTGATCAATGATGAGTAAGGCTAGGTCTCAGATTTTATCAATTGTGAAATGTTCAACTTGAACATATTTTTAGTGAGTGAACTTCAGTCTCTCACTTTCAGACTACATTATGAAGTAAGTGTCAGGTACACTCTAAGTCTAAATACTTCCATGCTATCAGTAAGGTCACGGTCTTAGTATAATTACATATACTGTGTATGCATATCATATGCATAGGGGGATGCCTGCAGTGAAAAGCCATGGTAACTCTGTGGCTGCTGGCAGCCTCTGGGAAGGTAAGCATTTCTCATCTCAGCATGCAAAAATGGCCCCGCAAGCCCAGCGATGGGACAAGACCGTTGTTGCTGGGACTCACCATCTGTGGGAGCTGGATGTCAGCAAGGCTAGAAATGAGGGCTTGACTCAACCCGGCCAGCTCCTTCAACAAGCTCTCATTGTTCTGTTCGATGAGTTTGTTCTCCTCCTCTATGGTCTTCAAGTTGCTCTCCATGGATGTGATCTATGATGGGAACAAGGTTGGATGTGAATAAGAATGACTTCTTCCTGAGGGAAACCCATTGGCACAGACCTAAAACTATTTCCTTTCACAGAACTATGATGTCAGTATAGGGCTGTGAAGTTCGGTTATATAACAGCCTTGCCCTCAGACAGAGAGTGTGCATCAGAAAATGAATTAATGCAGTTACGGTTAGATTAAAATTTAACATCTTATCATTTGCTTTCCCTTTTGACCGTTCTTAATTAGTTCTAGTCATTTTCTGCATTCTTTTGGGTTGAGATTTTTGTGTGTTTTATTTTGTTATTGTTGTTAGGGTTTTTCAATAGGCTTTTCTTTATATGAAATCAAGGGCAGGTAATTCTGTATAGAAAGTAACCAATAACAATAGTTTCTTAAGGTTATGGTAGAGGAGGTAGGGGCTACATGGAAAGGTAATAACCATGAGTAAAAAAGTGAAAATGTTTTAAAATGGATTGTGGTACTGATTAACAATCTTTTTAATATACTCAAGTCAATATATTATAAAAATATTTTTAAATAGATCTGATTCTAATAAATACATATTCAGAGATAACAGAAAAAATTTAAAGAAATAAAAATGTGCTTTGATTTCTTGGATTTTAAATGAGCACTTTTTTTTTTTAATCAATTTATTGGGGCTCATACAATTCATCACAATACATAGATCAATT